ACCGCAGACCTGACCTTCTGGAGAGAGTAGAAATCTTCTTTACCGACCATATCGCGGAATGCTGAAAGAAAAGTCGTGCTGCGAGTACGACTCATGAGAGAGAGGGGATAGCAGACCTCCCCCTTCGCAACCCCCGCTTTCACCCACACCTTGCGATGACGACGGTTGAATCACGACGACGGTGAGTACGCTGACGCGGGTGACGCGGTTGCTCTGACTGCGTCAGTGTACAATCGGTGTATACCAGTCAGTGTGTATCAGCGTGCTGTCACATTTGACAGGTTGGTGTCGCCGCGTGACTTTGCATCTGCGCTACGTATATCCCGTGAAAGCTCCGCGAAAAATAATTTCTGTGATCGCGACAGGTATCCGTGAAGCGGATACTGTGATTGAATTAATCGCCGATTGCACCGCAGTTGTACGGAACAGTCTCGGAGGTCGCTAGGAACCCACAAGGATGCAGGTGAGAAATTTTCAATTTTTTTATTCCTCGCGTATTTTTTATGCACCTTTTAGGGAGCGTCGAAAGAGAGAGCGAGAAAGAGAGGGAGAGAGAGAAAGTGAGAGAGAGAGAGAAGATCGTATAAAAAAAACAACGAAAACTCTCTTGCTGAGAAACTTCTCTCTCTTTTCTCTTTTCTTGAACGTGTACGATTGAGAATTCTCGTTTAGCTATACGTCTCATGAATATACAACAGCCGCTGCTCGACGCAGACGCGAGATGATTTGGAATTTCCCGCAATTCCTATTCGCGTCCCGCTCTTCGCGCGATTACAATTGCGCGAAGGGTTCCCGACTGAAAATGTACAGATTAAAATGCGCCGGAAAAAGAGATTTGTAGATCTATTCTATAATTTTTTAACGACAATTTTACTGGCTAGGGATGTCGTCACGCAGATATTTTACAGAGCGAAAAAGCTGCGTAATGACAATATAACGACCGAACTGTCGTTAAAAGTTACAGGAGCCTACTGGGAATTGATCATGTAACTTTTTCCCTAGGGTGGAAATTGTGAAAAGTGAAAATTTTTTTATCTGTGTATATATTATATTGCATTTATATATTGAGTGTGAAATACATTGACGGTATGTTGCTGTTAATTAGTGTTCAATGTGTTATATTTTGTAAGAAATTGATACATTTTAATCTTCCATAGAGAAAATAAAAAGAAATGCGATATTTTTAAAAATACTCGATTTTAAGATTCAAATTATCATCACACGATTTTGCAAGTTCTATCGATTTATTTCAATTTTTTTTACGAAAAAAGTTAATTTTATTTATTATGCGAATTTTTTATTCTTCTTTCGTCCTTCGCGATTTTTACACTGATTGAATCGGTATCTTAAAAATATTTATGCAGATGTTTCTTTCACTTTGGTTGATTCACTAATTACTGACGACCCAATGGTTAATTAAGGCACTGGTCTTGGAAAGTAAATAGTTAGTTACACTAATGATTAGTCATGAAGACTAATAATTATCAGAATAATCACACGTATTATCTTTCGAACTAATGATCAATCAGAAAACAATGGTTGATAATCTAATAATCTAATCTGTAATTAAGGATGAATGTTATTTACGTATACGTTTTTTAATTTAACCTTCTTTTTTTATCTCATTGTCTCGATAATTTTTAAGTTACACGCAAGTCATTACCAACGAAAAACTTTTTGCGATAACTTAGATATTTATAGTCCGTTTTTATTTCAAGACTGTTTTAAGAAATAAGACGCTAATATACCATTTTTATGCTTAGTTTACACTGACAGAAATCTTTTGATATATATAACCATTTATTTTGTTGATATACGACTCAAAATTTGGTTATTCTAATCAAATTTTTATTATAACAACAAATTTGGTGAGAGCAACACAAATGATTCAAAAAGCATTTTAAAGCTTGAAGTTTGTACTTTTCAGATAGATAGATAAATAACAATTAATTTGACTGATTTTTTTATAAGTTGCAAGAACATAAATGGACATCCGTCAAATCTAAAAATTTTTATGAACTTTACAAAATTCCAAAGCATGAATTAAAAATTGCATACAAAAGCAATTCACAGATTTCAAAGGATTGAATCTTTATCTTTAATTTACATATTTGTTATGAGCGTTGTGCGATTTTTTTTCACCGATTTATTCAACATTGAAGCAAAATCTTTTTTACTTTGACTGTTCACAAAAAATGAACGAAGTAGCGCTTAATATCCTTAAAAAAGAACGAGGAAGGTTTACATTTTCTCTTTAAAATATACCTACCATTTTTTGATACAAAGAAATTCTCGTATTGCAAACTTCGATTAAATGAGGCGCTAGAAATTTAAGGATTGATATGTTTTCGTTCAAGCTGATATAACCCGACGAGAAATATTAAAAACGTTATGATTTTAACGATTTATGTCCTTTATGTTCAAAGCAATGACTTTGGGCAAAACAACGTTCGCTTTATTCTATCGCAGCATATCCGTCGTGCTTTGTGTGAGAGTTGCACGATTAAATTTACGCGTTTTTGTGTGTTATATACATATATGGCGGACGTACATGATAGAGGTATGTGCACTTGAGAAAATTGAAATCTTCCTAATTGTGTTTTAAAAAATATTGAGCGTTACTTTTCTGTGAACAGAAACGCTTTTTGTTTCAATGTCGAATAATTCGATAAAAAACATCGTACAACGATCAATAAATACGCAAATTAAAGATAAAGATTCACTTACATTGGAAAATGTAAATTATTTTTGTGTGTGATTTTTAGTTCACATCGTCGAACTTCGTAAAATTTGTAAAAAATTTTAAGATTGACGAATTTCCATTTGTATTCGCGTATTCCGTAAAAAATCAGTTAAATTGTTATATAAAGTACCGATCTAAATTAGTAAAATAAAGATTTCAAGCTTTAATATGCTTTTTGAATCATTTCATTGTAATCATTTTGATGAAGTTGAAAATTACCTATTTTTTGAGAGCGCGCAGAATATATAATTCCTTAGTTGATATACACTATGCCAAGAAACATAGTTTCTTGGGGGACATAGTGTATAAGACCAATTATAAATTCCGACCACAAAAATCTTCACATAAAATTAAAATTTCTAAATTTTCTAAAATTCTTTAACCTTCTGAGGACCGGCATGTTTTTGATCGACTTTTTTATTTTAAGAGCTAGAACTTTTTTGTCAATATCATGGGGTTGAGTGAAGAAAAAGGTGGCGCCACTCCGGTCCTCCAGAGGTTAATCTTATTGTTTATTTTTGGATGGATTTTAACAAATGCGTAATTTATGGATTTTTTTACAAAAATATAATATATACATAGAAGCATTCACAATTGAACATATTCATAGTTTGAAAGAATAATGAAAGAATTGTGTATATATATATTTTAGTAAATATATATTTGTTCAAAATCACATTCTTTACGCGTGCAAAGTATATTTCGATTAAATATGTATATTTGTCAAAATTATACAGCTTTATGTTTGAATTGCAAATTTTTTATTAAATAAGATTTATCAAAAATCAAATTAATTCGAAATTACTAAATTAGTTCGTCTTATGATAGATATATAATATTTATCGAATAGATATAAAATAATATAGATATAAAATATGTAAATTTATCAAAATTATACAATTTTATGTTTGAATTGCAAATTTTTTATTAAATTAAATTTACCGAAAATCAAATTAATTGGAAATTAGTTCGTCTTATGATAGATATATAAAATTATTTATCGAATACATGAATTTTAAAACTATTTCTTAACTCTTTCGTTTTCTGTGAGTTGACTATAGTCAAATAGCTGTATGTAAAATCATAAAATATTATTACATCTATATCTATGAATATACATACATAATTTTTTTATATGGCTATCGACTTTATGTTTGTATAGGTAGCGTGTATTTTGATAAGTATTTTTTAAAATTTTTCGATAAAATAACATGTCGTATTAACTTCACAGATAATGGAAATAAAAAACGTTCCGTATTTTTAGTAAAAAAAAAAAAAAAAACAAAATGAAAATATAGCGTACTAATTTTGATCTTTTGTAAAAACTGCGGAACTTTTTTTTATTTTTATGAGGAATTATAAAAAGGGCTACTGGAACTGTCATTATTTTTTTTTTGTGTTAACACAATGTCATTTTAACTTCACAGATCCCACTTTATGTCTACTTTACTTACAATTAGTCAAATTATTGTAAAATTTTAATCATTTTTATACCTAATTATTGTTACATTTTCTTACTAAATTGGAAAAATGAATAAACATGAATTAATTATTTAATATGATAATTAATTATTTTATAAGTCCAATGTTACTAAACAACAATTATATTTGTTGTTTTTGTTCATAACATAAAAAAGATTTTAAAAAAGTTAAAATATAACAAAAATTAGAATCACGATCATATTTTATACAATATTATTGTAGATTTGGTTTACGTAATTATGATACTTATTATTATTAAATATTAAATCTGAAATGTAAGTATTACACTGACATGAGTTAATGAATTATCATGATATTGCGCGACCTTGATAGATCTATTTTATCAAACAAGCAAGAATTAATTCTTCCTTTCATCAGCAATATAAAGACCCGAAAAGGTCGAATGAGGGCAGAGAGCGCATCTGCACGATGCGACGCGGCGCGTTTTCGGAGCCGACCGAATCGACCTCGTTCACCCCAAGGTCTGATGATCTAAGAGGGGGTCGGAGGATGCGAAGGGCCCTCGATAGAGAGAGGGTCTTGCACAATGCGCGTCGCAACTGTAAACCGTGAACAGCAGGAACACGCGGTGTCCGTTCGACGGCGACAACGACAACCACGACGACGACGTTGGTGGTGATGGCGATGGTGGTGGTTGCTGATGGTAGTGGGGAAGCAGGGTAGAGAGAACATTTAATTTGAGCTTGCGAGGAAGTAGTTGATTGGAGATGCGAGGTACGGGCTCGTTGGCGGGAGAGCAGTTGCAGTTCGACCGTTGGTCTTGTTAGACCTTCCGGGAGATCCTCTTGCTAAGATCGCGACTGCCGATCCTAATCGCGATCGATTTCGCGAACGCACGTGTGCGACGTGCGCACGTTTTCTTCGGTGCGAGACCGCGCCGCGTTCTTTTTTTTTTTTTTATTGCGAGGCCACGATTTCGGGCAATAAGCCTGATCGACTTCATTCGACTTCGCTATTATCATTTGCGCAAATTCCACGTTTATGGAACAGCCACGTGAGAAGTGACAATCAAGTTCTCTGACGCACGAGTTCGTCGGTTGAGCAACAGCAATGCATCACGATGATAAATTCTAAATCTCGTGATTGAGCGCAGATTTTGCAGGTATTTTTTGCGTTGAAGATTGTCGACGATAGTTTTTCATGTACTTAAAAGAGACGTCACCCAACTATCCGGCACCGATTTGATTCTGCGTGAAATATGTTGTTAAATACAAAAGTCTAAGAGACACATATTTTTTATACGTGTGCTAACTCATGTTTAAGGGATGAAACACTCCTTTGAAAAAAAAACGATATTTCTATTTCGAACCGAATACAATTGTTAACAAAAAATTTTTTTAATTTTTTTTTCTTCACAACATTGAAACACTCTTGAAACCGTACAACTTTTGTTTAAACAATTTTTTTCCATCTTTTATACTTCCGACGGTATTCGTCCCTTATTAGTGCGCCCTGTGACTGTAACATTTCACTCTAAACTTGGCTGTGTGTTTGAATTCTATTTACGATATTTCTCTTTCCTTTCCCTTTCTTGTATGGTCTATCTGTTTCAATGCTTTAATAAAAGGCAGGTTTTGAATTTAACCAGATTTGGAGTAATGCAAAATATTTATATGTATATTCTTACCAATTTATTGTTGTAAATATTCTAAAAAATATTTCTGTATTCGATAGATTCTAAAATATATCTATAATATATATTCAATAAAGAAAATTAAGACTAGAAAAATAATGAATTACTTGCATATTTGTATCATAATTTTTTCACATTTTTTGTAAACTTTTTTGATAGAATTTATGCATTTATTGCATATTAAAAATTAGAAGAAAAAGCGATACAAAATGTAAGAGATGAATATACATACAATCATAAGTATGCAAATTTATTAGTATTATTTATCTCACAGTACGTTCGTCTGTGTAGTATTTTATATACATAATTCAGCTTCATATGTAACTAATTAACATAATACTACTCGAATTTTAATTATGTTTGCCAACTATAATTAAAGTACCTGTCTGGTGCGATTGTCATATATCTCCTTTTTTTTTATTTCCCATTGTCGGCAGGCAAAGGCAGTTTGCCGATATTTCACTGGCAACAAAACATTGAACCGACAAATCGACCGTAAAAGAGTTTTATCTAACGGCACATGAAAACGGATATTCTCTATAACAAAAAAGTATATCGCATATATCTCAAAATTATGGTTTGGAAAAGATAGTTAACCGTAATGATTATTTGCCACATCGAAAAATTACGAGTGCGACCGAACACAAATATCCATTTTTCCTAGCAACGACTATTAGAATGTAGACACACTATTTGGTACAACGAGTAATGATATCGATAACACCTGTGTGATTTTACCTTAAGTGGTAGATAATTTGATTTAACAGATAGAAAGCACACGATCGATCTATGGTATTTTGATAACGTTTAGTAGAGATACTCTTTTAATATTCTCCGACAGTAGTAATTATTACGCGAACAATATACAGTTTATAAATATACAAACGACGCATTAAAAAGCTAATGAAAACTTTGGCAATTTGTCAATTTTTGATTCAGATTGTGAGCACTGTCGTCTGCTGATTTGCCGGCATTGATCGCGCTATTGTGCAGCAATATCGCTTTCAAGACAGATTTAACTATCTGTTGAATCTTTTACTGCCGTCAGTGAACACGAAAGAATTCATAAAATGTTTCTTGAGTCGGCATTCATATAGTCCGTTCTTATTTCAAGACCATCTTAAGTAATGTCTTAAGTTGCTAGTACGGTTCTCTGATTGGTTCATGACATCTTGAGATTGTACTTAAGAGTCTTAAATAGATATAAGAATCGCGACTATGAATACCAGTCTTATAAGTCGTAATCATACTAGTAATTGCTATTGGCGATTACTTTTCAACCAGTCAGAGCAAAGCAGTTCTCGATTGCTTTAAACCTATGGCACATACAAAAACGTAAGACCATAAGACGTAAACAGTAAGGAAATCGTAACGTTGGATTCGCTATTGGCCTTACGGACTCTACCGTGATTGACCAATTCGCTTACTGATTACGTCTTACTGCCTTACGTTTTTGTATGTGCCAAGGGCTTTACTCTGATTGATTGAAAAGTAATCATTAATTGTTAATCATAATCACGAGAGAGAGAGAGAGAGAGAGAGAGAGAGAGAGAGAGAGAGAGAGAGATTACAACTTTATAAATACCTCACATTCAATTATAATTGTCATCTCGGTTTTAATAATTCATGTTAATTGAAGTTTAATCTGTGTTTACTTTTCATAAATTTAAGTCAAATCTTATTTGCCACGTTAATATTTTTGATAGGAGCTCGTATATCAAGCTCATTATTTATTTATTTATTTAGTTTTACTAACCAATTTTTAATGATAGATAAAAATCATTAATTTTTTATGACTGATAAATAATTGTAGATTGCTGTTTACAACAATCTTATTATTAATTTGTAATATAAAATACTTATTAAAAATCAAATGAAAGGAAAATTCAGAAGAGAAACCTTTGAAGAAATTTGAATCTCAACATCGCGAGCATTACATTTGCATTATAACTATATGTTATTTTTTTTTAGTGATACAGATCATATCTTGTCGTCGGTGAACAAACGCGCGCGTAACGATTAACAATACATGGACACAAATAGCGCCCGCGAGATTGGAATTGTGGAAATACGCGACGGACGTAAAAAGATTAAAATTTATCATGGGAAAAAAGAATAACGACACGCGCGAGCCTCTCGAATTGATGCGTGTAATGAAAAATGATGCGCAGAAAGTCGCAGGAACGAGTACACAACGTTGCTCCCTCGCATTATACGTGAAACCCCTCGGTGTTGTCCGACGAGGCCCTGCGGTCGTTTTCCTCCTAATTATCTCATAGTGGATGACCGAGTTGGACGCACACCTAGTTCCCCTCCTCGAAACGCGGATATATTATCGCGTTTTAGAGCACAAGTGTCATTAATCGATGCAACGACAACGACGTCCGATTAATCGGATTTTCCGCTCGGAACACGCGCGATTATTATTATCTCTATTTACAATAGACGAAAGATTACATCTTAGATTTATAACAAAATTTCGAATTCGTGTTACGATAAATTGTAGCGAATGTATTGCGAGGAATTTACAGTAAAATTCCGAGTGCGATGCACAAAAGTCAGTTAATGTTATACATTTTTACTGTGCGCATCGTATCTTATTGAAGGAACAAAACTAAGAAGTAATCTTTGAATTAAAAACAGTCTCTTTTCCGTACAATTAAAATTTCGATTAAAATTCGAGAAATTGAATAGTTGAAAGTCATACTATACCGTATATAACAAAAATATGAATTTTCAGATGAACTTCAAATTGATCTTAATTTAATGCAGAAACTTTATAAACATTATATTATAGTTGAGGTTTAAAATTCAAGAAAGATATCACTCTCTGATTTTTTCACTGAAAACAGTTTTTGAGATTTCATTTTATGAGACGTCTTGTATATCAAGAGAGGGTATACAATTTCCGAGTAAAATTAATCAAAGAATTACACCCGGCAATGAAGTGGCAGGTAGACTGGCAAAATTGCGGACTCAGATAAACCCGGCTGAACAGACTGTTGGTGTGCCCTTTACTTTGGATAAAAAAATCAGCAAGAACTATTTAGACTAGAAGTACCCAACTTCCTTGGAGACCTACAGACAATCCAACTGTTGAACAATCAATCCTTGTCAAATAAAACAAAATTTTTTACGATAAACAGAAACAATTGAGAACTTAAATTGGTCTTCTTATGGGACTCTCAGAACTCACTTATGCGAACTCAGTTGTGCTGAACAAAAGAATTACCGATTACGCAGAATAGAAAACGAAAACAGCCTATTTTATATGCCACTGTGCTAGTCTACTAAAGCTACAGATCCTGGAGCTGCATGTTTCTTAAGCCGAAGGATTTAATAGAGGATAAGTCTCATAAGCATAGTGCATTATTCTGGGCTGAGACTGACTCAACCTCAAGAAGCGAGGAATCATAAAGGAACTTCTTTAGATTCCGATTTAGAGACTGGCTTAGTCCCACTCGCTATTGCAATTATTACCACTACTAGTTAAAGCATTGTATAGCCACAACCTACGTATTATTTCTTTCTTTCCACTGGAAGAGAACGCATCGCGACCCACGGACGCTGTTTTACGTCAAGGAATAGAACAAAAAATGATCTAGAGTTGGAATGATTTATTAGTTGCACGAACGAGATAGGCTGTAAAAGAAAGCTGCGGATCCAACAGGTGGTCGAAATAATTTCTTTGCGATGTTGGTGGTAGAAAATCCAAGATTAATTCTATTCTTTGAGAACGATAATGATTCATTCGTACGCATATAACGATTGTTTTTCACCTTTTCCACGCGCATCCCACTAAAAAGTATCTACCTATATGAACGTTTTATTGTCTATCGAAATTTAAAAAGTATAATTAAACATCCAACCTACATGCATCTATAAGTTTTATTCTCGCGCTAACAAGTATTTTGATAAATCTGATTTGTATTTAAGAGTGGTGTGGTATATCTATTTATTATTAAGAATATAATCTCATCATTTTGTATAAATAAACGATTGTGACAATGGTATAAATTTTATTTCTCTTATTTTAAGAGAATAAATAACTCTTTCGAATTGTGTAGTATAATCAACAGTATATTTATTATATTATTAAAATTATGTATAGATAAAGTATATTATTTAATTTTTTATACTGTTTACTATTTAATATAAAAATTGTACTATATTTAAAATATTGCTAAAATTTTAGATTTATATTCCCGAAGAGTCTACAGTTTTTTCATGCTGAAATAATCGTAGAATCGATATTCGTTAATGCAGATAACATGATAAGTTTATTGTTTCGTGATATCGCATTAGATATAAAGCTTAATGTTTGGGGGCGACAAGTATGCCAAGGGCAGTTAGAAGCTGTTAAGAGGTTCATTCCTGTTGGTTATTCAAGCAGAGTAATAAAATTCTCGACGTCTATGACCTGTTAATCTATTAGCGATACAAATATTTTTCTAATAGCGATTAACAGT